CTGTCACTGCATCTGTATCATTAACTACTTACTACTTTATCACTCTTCCCTTTTTTCTTTCTTGTTGTTGTTCTTTTCCTTTTCCCTTGAGCTTCAGTTCGCGTCATCTTCCACCCCATAAATAATTGTAAATGTGTGTGCTAAGAAAGTCTAGTGATGATCAAAGGTATGTGTAGCTGTTGCATCTTTTCTAGGGAAATAGTCCAGCCTCTTTTCAGCAAGTCAGAAGAATGAGGGAAAATTTGTTTGCTTAAGTGTTTTTTACAGATTTTGTTGTGGATACTTGTAGGTTTCATCTGGAGATCTGAATAGTGAATTTAGTTCTCTATAAAGGCATCAAATTATTAGTAATTTACAGTTTGCAGTATTAGGTAGCTGTAGGCAAAAAGAAAGTATAGGCGACCACTGCCTTTTCACATTTCTCTACAAGTTATCAGTAGGCCCTATTTTAGCCAATCACCTCTTCTTCAACATTTAGTTATTACTGCATTTACTCAAATATAAGGTGACACTGAATATATTATACAATGACCCCCCAAAATAATTAGATTCTGTATATGGAAAATTTATAAATTTGTTAGATTCTACATCTGGAAATGTATAAGTATTGGAGGGTTGTCTTGAATTCTACGCCCATCCCTGTCTCCTTCCCCTTCCCCCCGCCTTCCTCTCTCCCCCCGCCCAGCTCTACAACAGGGGCAACAGTGGCGGGGGGGGAGTCAGGTGACCACTTTGCCCTTGCCCTTTGCCCTGCCTACTTTTTTCCCCCTGCAGCCTTCCTCCCATCCCCAGCTCCCCACGGCCCCCCCAACTCTGTAATCTCTGCTTCTTCCACCCACTCCCATTACTGACAGACACTGCTCAGGCTGCTCTGTCTCAGAGTACAGCACATGGAAGCACAGCCCTTGCCTAGCCATATTAGAGTCAGGGCTGTTGCTTGGGCAGTAAGGTGAAAGAGTTTCCATATACTCCCTGTCTTGGAGAAACCCTAGCCCAAGCCAGAGCCAATCTGCATCTGATGGGAACAGGGCGCGGGGGGAGGGGAATGAAGAGGAGCCTGCTCTGGGCCTGACTGTAGCTTGGGGCCAGGGTCAGAGCTGCAGCAGCCAGCTGCTCTCCCCTCTGCCTCATATGCAAATATAAGATAAACTAATTGGGGGTTGGGACCTCATCTTATATGGAAGTAAATATGATAATTACTCATTAATTCCTCAACATACCTGCTAAGACCAGCAGTTTTGGGTCAGGTTTTATGCTGACACAAATGACATCAGTTCATTAGGAACTGCAGGAAGCCTACTTGATCATTTCACAAAGCTTGTCAAATATCTGTCAGATATTAATGATTTTACATACAAATTGGACCTGACTTTCTCCTTAGATTAAAAAGGGGGAAATATTCAAGGGCACAAATAGCAGTTGGCCCTGTGCCTTCAGGAAATCATTAATTTAGGCCATGCCTGCTCCTTTTTAAAAAAAAGGTTGGCTATGTCTTTTATTATTATTATTATTATTATGTCTTTTATTGCTACAGGTTTGTTTTTTTCCTAAAGAAGAAAATTGTACAATTCATAATAAAGGTTTGATTAAAACAAAGAAGGGCAATTCTGTTTAAATACAGGTATTATTTCAAGCCTTGTTGTTATTAATTGTAATATTGAGTTGCTCACACTTTAATAACCTTTTCTAATTCTATATACAACAAGGCAGGAGAAATGTAAAATCAGATTTTCATATTTCCTGCTTTGGGGATTACTGTAAGCCTTTACCTTCTTCTTAACAAGAGTTTAGAGAAACTTCTGTTACCCAAAATATATAGCAATATAATTGAAACATTCATATTGCAGGGAATTAAATACTTGTATCTGAGAGTATATTTATTGTATGTAAGAGTTGCTGGGACAAAACATTTCAAATTAATCTTGAAATATGATTATTTAATATTAGCATTTATTTAATAAGCGCATTATTAACCATTTGTATGTATTTATTACTACATTTAAAATATCAACCACAAAATCTAACCTTATCTATTACGCAGTAATATCCAGTTTTTAAATATCATATTGGTAAGAGTTTGAGAGAGAGCCCCAACAGTAAACTTCCCAGAATGATAAAAGGCAGTTGAGTTTTATATTGCAATATTAAGTTTTATAAATGTTGTTTTTTAATTATTTTAAATAATTTTAAATAAATGTTGTTCTAGATGGAGAGGAAGCAAGATCTTTCACTTCAGAATTTCCTTTAGTGATAGCTGTTCAATAAGAAATTGCTTTTGAGATATGATTGCATTAGCTGAAGTGTAGTAAGTCTGCGGCCATGTACAGACATTCAGTTTCTCCTGGCAGTGTCACTGCTGTCCTAGGAGAAACCACGAGTGTACAGATGTCCAGAATTTTTCTCCCAGGGCAAAAATGGCCAGTGCAAGAGAAAAAATAACCCAGATACAAGCAGGTTTAAATCACTCCCAGGAGAGTTTCTTCTGGGAGAGCACATATCTGTACATTCTGTTTTGAAAGAAGCCACAGTTCTCCAGCATCCCAAGGTGTTTGCTCCCACCCCTTCTACTATCCCACAAGTGCGTCACTCGCTGGACTCTGCTGCACCAGCTGAGGAGGAAAAAGAACATGCCCTGTTCACAATCCACATATTGTGCTGCACAGGCCAGTCCTGAGTAGTCTGGATTATCTGATTAGAGCTGCCCTGTGCACTGCTGCCCTCCGTCTCCTGGTAAAACTGAGGAAACCTAGAGAACTTAGTGAGTTGTGTGGACAGGGACCCCCTGTCTATACAGTATTAGTACTACAAGCACTCTGTTTTTCAGGGCATCAGCTTTCAAATGTCTGTTAGGGTATCTCTGGGTAAGTTTTTCTATCAAGAAAACAAACCCAGGAGAATTCTCTGAAATCATTTGAATGTGTATGTGCAACCTGTATCTGCTATTGATCTTTGTTGTATATCTGTAGAATGAAATAATGTAGAAGGAAATAATGTAAAATGTAGATAAAGAAGATTTTTTTTTATGCATGCCTTCTAAGGAAAAATAATTAGCCTCTTGATGTCATTCATGCATAATACATTGAACAGAAAAGATACATCTATAGAACTGATTGTTTTTACATATTTTATACTCTACATCCATTGATCATGTCTACTTTAGCACTTGCGTGGTCCTTATAATTACAGAAGAAGAGATACTATTAGTCTTTTATTCTCTGGGCTTTGTTCTTCATTTTTTTCTATTATCTAAAAGTTTCCTATATGCTTATCAAGAAACCTAGAAAGACTCAATTTGTGTCTGAAAGAATTTACAAGCTAAATTTTAGGCATAGCAGAACAATGGAGAGTAACAAACAGTGAGGGAATGATCAGTGAAATCTGAAGACAGTAAGCAATCACACAGTTATTTATTTAAACTTACGTAAATGTGATGGTGGTTGTATTTAAAGACATTTGTATTTAAACACAAAAATGATAGCTGTATTCGTGAAAGTAGCTGACTTACTATGACCATCATAGAAAAAGTGAGTTTCAAGTTAAATTTTTTCCCTGTAAATGTTTTCAATCTTACATTAGTATGAACAAAAATAGTTTTAAAAATAAAAATGTGTTTGTTGTATAGAAAATGAAGGCTGAAGTTAAAACTAAGTATTAGGGCCAGTCTTTCTTATTATGTTATGCATGTATCCTGTAGAAAACACACAAATTATATCAATGGATTTCTTTCAGGTAGCAATTACAGTGAAAAATGTGACGTATTTAGTTGGGGTATTATTCTTTGGGAAGTGATCACCCGGAGGAAACCTTTTGATGAGATTGGTGGTCCAGCTTTCCGCATAATGTGGGCTGTTCATAATGGTGAGTTGTAAGCTTGTATTTTACTTTGGTGCCTGTACATGTGAGTTGTGTATTTGTGCACCATTTACTCAATAATTTTGGGAAAAAACGTATTTAGTAAGTGATAGTTTTATACTTCTCTGGGTATTCACCTTTCTTATTAATATTTAGATAATTTCACTTGTGAACCAGCTTATTTTTTGGTGTTGTTTCTTGTCTGTCATCTCGGGCTAAGAGAGAATTTCCTAGTGTCAGCCCCAGGGCTCCAGAGCTTGGAACAGGAGATAAGACCACAGGGCCAGGGCCAGGGCTAGGGCTGAGAGAGAAGAATATGCACCGAATCTGCACCACAACTGCAGAGCCTGGGCTGGGAGATAAGGATCTCCCAGCCCGGGCCCCACAACTTCAGAGCTTGGGCTAGATGATAAGGATCTCCCAGCTTGGGCCCTACCACCAGAGCTGAGGCTGAATGATAAGAAGATCCCAGCCCCCGCTTCCCAGTCATGATTGGGAAGCGGGGTCTGGGAGCTGCCTGGGCAGGGGGACATTGTTCCTACCCAGGTTTTGGTGACAGAGCCCACTCTGGCTGCAGGTAGCTCCCAGGGGCAAGGAGCAATGTCTCAGTCTCCACCATGAGACCACTGTCTCCTGGCCCTATGCTCCCTGCCAACTCCTGAGTTAGCATCCAGGGGAAGCCTAGATCTCCCCCTGGCTGCAGCAGAGACCCGATGCAGGGCCACAGGGAGCAGGAGCAGTCTGCTGCTAAGAGCAGCAAATCTGCTTCCATGTCCCTGCATATGTAGACATGTGCCCAGGACAGTTTAAAGTAGTTTACTCTAGAGTAGACTGTTCCTGCATTATTTGCATGTGTAGACTCACCCACCGAGTATTTCAGCAACAAAGATGTTAACATATTATATAGTAACAGAATTTCCAAGAATGGTTCAATAAAGAAGTTACTCATTTTACTTATAGGTACTCGGCCACCACTGATCAAAAATTTACCTAAGCCTATTGAGAGTTTAATGACCCGGTGCTGGTCTAAGGATCCCTCACAACGACCTTCCATGGAAGAAATTGTCAAAATTATGACACACTTGATGCGGGTATAACTTCTTTTTTTTTCCAATTTTTAAATAACGCATTTACTATGGGTTATTAAGTTGTAATACTGGTTTAAAAAGGCCTCTGTCATTTTATTCAATGTATGTCTATAACAAATCTTCATTGCATAAAGGTTTTTGTTAAATGCAACTTAGAACTGCTCAAACAAGCTGTCTGCTCTGCACCCATATAGGATCTATGCTAATTTGATCCTACAATGTTAAAGTTATTCAGAAGTTTTACTTCTGTAGTTTCTGTAGCAATTTTCCCAGCACTGATGTGTGTATATTCACAGTAATTTCCAGGTTCAACATGAGCTTCTTTAAAA